AGAGGGAAGGTACTGCTGCGTGCCAAGAACGCTTGAGCTCCAATGTCACTTCCTGCAGGGGTTCACGACGAGTGCAGGAACAGAATGAGGGACCAGATGGGGGTACCCCCACTCCCGAGCCGCGATGGAGAGGCATCTTGGTCCACCCTGGTCATCTTTCCTAGCAAGATGACAACACCCCCATCCCACTGCCATCCTTTGCCGCGTGTTGGCGTAGATCCTGCCTCCAGTGGTGTGTTGTCAGTCTTCTGATTGGGCAGTCGTGAACAAGGTTAGAGCTGTGTCGTTGTGATAGTTTCCAGCGAGGCAAAACGGTTCGGCTTGCACCAGTTGTCTGTACAGCGCATGGAAAAAAATTCCAAGTGTGTGGGTGGGGTTTCGTGAATCACGGGAAGGTATAGACTGTACACGCGTACCCTATCCTTCTTCCCCCCCCCCTCAAGTCCATTTCAGTGTGACTCACGTCACGTCATTATATTGATTTGTCAGTGTTACCTGTACAGCAACAAGCAAAATGGTCAGTGTGGCAAGGTAGGTTATACTGAAATTTCAGTGCAAAATTGAAGCATATGCTGAATTGTCAGGGAAAACGAAAACCGCAGCTACAAAATCAGCCTAATCAGCGTGTTTTACGCTGATATCTGAGGGCATGGTCCATGGCCAAATCCAGTCTTGACTAGGCCTTCAGATTCGTTTTGGGCCACACTTTCTCATTAGTGTCGGTAAAAAAAAAAAAAAAAAATGTCAGGGTCGTTACAAAAATAAACTCTGAAAAATCAGTGTTGTCACATAAAAAAAAAACTTTCTCATCAGGGCTGGTACATTTTGTAACGCTGATGTAACCAGCCTTCATCATAATGTGACGGGAACGGGGGGAGGGAGACAGTGGTGGTGCAGCAATGGTGGTCCAGGTTAGGCAATCGCATGTGCTAAGAGCGTGTTCCTATACCTCTTATCAGAAACACCTCGAATCAGCTTCGCGTGGTGAAATGCGTTTCAGTGTGTTCGACTGCGGTTGGATGCGTTTCAGTGCGGTTCGACACGAATCTGATATGAGGTTGCTTGATACGAGGCTGCAAGAACACGCTCTAAGACAGGTCTCTGTTTTGTCACAATATCAGACAAGTGCTCGCAAGCAACAGTCGGGAATGTTCCTCAACAACCTTTCGGGAGCTTTGCGCAGTGCCACGTCACCCCACGCTTTCTGTCTCGCACTTCTCCAATCAACAAAACGTGAAATGAAGAGTCGGTTAGCCAAAAAAATGGTGTCTGAGGCGAGTCTGACAAGATGTAGATAAGGGGGGTGTAGGAAACAGCCCTAAGATGCTGTTTCACGTGATTGACGGTGACGGCAAAAATTTTGGGCGAAAATTTTGGCAGATTCATCGAATCTAGGCAATTTCACTAACAGGGATGGCCCCACTACTTTATGATTTGAATCAGGGTCCCCTAGCAAAAGTAGGCTAGAAATTCAGGCCTGCTACAAGAAAGTTAGCTGAAAAAACAGTGTAGGCATAAAAAAAAGCTTTCTCATGAGGGTTGGGACCTAAAAACACCCTGAAAATCAGGGTTCAAAGGCAAAATCAGGGTTAATTTTCCCTCAATCTGAGGGCCTGGTCTTGACCAAGCATGGTTGGAGTGTACACCCAACCCCCCAAGAGCACAAAAGGCCACCTATTGTAGCCTATGAATGTTGTATATAATATACATTTACGACATATTTGCTGGCTTACAAATGCCTATACACACCAACAGCACCCAAATCCACCTAGTCTGGCAATCTGACATTTGAGAACCATCTCTCGTGGAGAGTCTGTTTGAAGTAAAATTTGTGGTTGCTAATGTCCAGCTCAAACGAACGAGCCCCCCCGCATAGGATGGACCCAGCTAGAAACACGTGGGCGTGTGCGCACAACAGCTTGTCCAGTATGGCCACGATGCCTGTGCGAGGGTTGAAAGAATGACGGGGCTAAAGTGAGTGGTAGAAGGCAACAGAAGAAGAGGTATGTAAGAAGGGGCGAGGGTTGGCATGGTACATAGGAGCAACTGAGCGCACTTTGCTGGAACAATATGGGAGACAGGACAAGAGGTGTAGGACAAAGTTCCTGCCAGGTACAGATTGCCACCTAAACAGCCATCCAAGCAAGCACCCACCTAAGGGCGTGTTCCTAAGCCTCATATCAGGCAACCTTATAATAGACTCTAGCGAAGGATTTTGGGTTTAGGGGAAATTTCAGTGTGAGCCCGATATGAGGTTAGCTTGATACAAGGCGTAGGAACACGCCCTAAGAGACGTGCACTGACCGGGGTCGTAGAGGTTGATGGTGGGCATGAGCTCGTCCACCATCACTGTGCCCGCCACCTGCTCCCTCAGCCACCGCAGCTTCTCCCGCGGGGCCTGGAGCGCCCTCTCTTTCTCCTGCCCTTGGAACTTCCATGTGGTCTCACTCCACGAGTCGGACCGCACCACGCTGCCCGCCTTGTCGTCAAACGGCACGTCGGCGGCGATGAAGACGGCAGAGATGTTGTGGCGGCGCTTCATGCCGTTGATGAGGTCGCGAGCTGCCTCCATGCACCCCGCCATCAGCCCCTCCAGCACGCCTGCCTCCAATGTGTAGCCGACTTTCGCTAGCCTGTGCCCCTACAAGATGGGTGAGGTGGGATAAGGGCAGCAACGAGACACAAATGAACATACCAGGTTGAAGGCAATGAACTTAACATGTTGAAGGCAATGAGCTTGCCAAGTTGAAGGCAATGAGCTTATCTTGTTGAGGAAATGAATTTACTAGCTTGAAAGCAATGAGCTTACCAAGTTGATGGCAAGCTTACCAGTTAAAGGCAAAAAAGTGACCAGGTTGAAGGCAATAAGGTTATCAGGTTGAAGACAATGAGGTTATGTGAGAGCGCGACGTCCGTTTTTACATGAACAATATTCTATTTACATTTCAATCTTTATTTCCTAGTTCGTTGCTTTTACTGTAGTTATTACAGTTTTAGCACCGAATAGATTGCGAGCACCAAGTTCCGCCTCATTTCAGTTGATTCAGCGTGGCTTTCCGCACGTGTGATATATGTCAAATTTTTTTTACTGAATTCGGACAGATTCCGTTCTCAACGATTCCCAAGGCTAAAGACCTTCTACTAACATCCTGGTTATCTGGTTTGTGTCATGTACAACTAAGGGTGTGAACGAATACCAACATATTCGTATTCATATTCGGTATTCGACAAATAGCAAATAAAAAGCGAATACGATATCACTGCCTATTCGACTAGTATTCGACTATTGACTATTCAACATATTCGATATTCGCCAACCGAATATTCGGATATTAGTAGACGTATTCGACTTTCTTACTCTGTGTGTTCCTTGATTTCCGAAGTTGCGTTTCTTATGTTTCACTCGTATCATCACCAATGAAAGCACCGGCGGTGCTTACGACCTGCTAAGAACCATGGCCCAAGGTTCTGTGTATGGCAAAAACTGTATTCGTTTTCGTATTCGACACAAAACCAGATATTCGAACAGTATTCGTAAACCAACTATTTGAACCGTATTCGGATTCGGTAGAAGAGGGATATTCGGCCAAATACGAAACTGCCTACTATTCGTAAAAATTTGTATAAAAAACCGTATTCGTTTTTACACCCTTATGTACAACATAATTACGTAGTTGTACCAAGAATGCATTATCTATTTTCTGAACTCGATCTTCGATCCTCACAGCTTACCAGCAGGCAATGCACTTTCCAACTTGAAGGAATTGACCTTACTAGGTCGAAGGCAACAAGCTTACTAGGTTGAAGGCAATGAGCGTACCAACTTGAAAGCAATAAACTCACCAGGTTGAAACAATAAGCTTACAAGCTTACCAAGTTGAAGGTAATGAGCTTACCGGGTTGAAGGCAATGGGCTTATTAGGTTGAAGGCAATGAGCTTATTAGGTTGAAGGCAATGAGCTTACCAAGTTGAAGGCAACGAACTTACTAGGTTGAAAGTAATAAGCTTACCAGATTGAAAGCAATGTGCTTACCAACTTGTAGGCAAACAGCTTACCAACTTCAAGGCAATAAACTCACCAGGCTCAAATCAATGAGCTTACCAGGTTGAAGGCAACGAGCTTACAAGGTGGAAGGCAATGAGCTTATGTGAGAGCACACCGTCCGTTTTTACCTCAACTATATTCAATTTACATTTCTGTGCTTATTTCCTAGTTCGTTGCTTTTGTTGTAATTATGTTAGTCATAGCACCGAATAGATTGCGTGCTATTGTCAAACATTATACTTGTGTTGTTGCTGTGTAGGCTACAGTGGGTTAGCCTTTAGGGGGTACACAATTCTAGGGTTTTGTATTTGTACTCCCATCTTCTCATAGTGCACACACTTCTCATTCTGACATGGTATCAGAGCCTAGGTTAAGAACCTAGGACCGAATGTTCCTACGGGCCCACCGTTCCGCTAGTAGCGCCCTCGTGCGCCTTCCCCACCTTTCGCCCTCGTGCGCCTCGCTCCTAGGGCGCCCTTGAGCGCCCCGCTTTTCTGCCGCGTCGCCCGCTAGCCGCCCGCGCGCGGCCCGTTTTTTGCCCGCGCAGCCCGCTAGCCGCCCGCGCGCGGTCTGTTTCTGACGCGCGCGACCCAGCAGCCGCCCGCACCGCCGCAGCCGCCCACGAGCAGCCCGCTAGCCGCCCGTAGGCCGCCGCGTCGCTGCTGTAGACCGCCGCCCGCGCGCAACTGCAGCCCGCGCACAGCCGCCGCAGCCGCCCAGGCCCGCCGTCGCGTCGCCCTGCCTGTCCAAGCGCGCCGCGCAACCCAGACCGAGCCGCGCCGCCCTCACTGAGCCGCGCCGCCCTGACTGAGCCGCGCCGCCTGGACCGAGCCGCGCCGCCCTGACCGAGCCGCGCCGCCCTGCTGTGCCCCACCTGCAGCAATTACTGTTCCTGCTACTGCTCCTACTGCTACTGGTCCTGCTGCTACTGTTCCTCCTCCTGCTACTGCTACTATGGCCAGTCCTACTGTGCTTACCTTTGACGCTGAGGGTCGTCCTATTAAGTTCGATGTTTGGCTCGATGACCTTCACCTCTACCTTCAGATCACCGCCAAGGACGATATTTCTCTTTATGACCACACGTCCGGTGCCGCTCCCGCTCCTGCTGCCGATGCTGATAGCACCTTGCGCTCGCAGTGGCAGACCCGTGACGCTCACGCTCGCCTAGCCGTTCGCAGCCACCTGCCGTTAGATGAGCGCGAGCATTTTGGCCAGCATAAGACCGCCAAGGAACTGTACGACGCCGTAGTCGCGCGCTACTCCTCCCCTGCCACTGCTACTATAGGCCGTCTCTCACTGCCCTACCTCTTTCCCGACCTGTCCGCCTTTGCCACTGTCGCTGACCTCATCACCCACCTCCGTACCAGTGACCTCCACTACCGTGCCGCACTCCCCCCCGATTTCCTCGCCAAGAACCCCCCCCCCGATGTACCTCACACTGTACCACCTTGTCACCCGCCTCCCTGACTCCCTTCGCACTGTCAGGGACCAGTTTCTCGCTCTCTCCCCCACTGACCTCACTGTCGACCTCCTCGAGAAGGAACTCCTAGCAGCTGAGAAGAGTATTGTAGCTGTAGGTGCCTCTCGTGGTGACCCCCGCACCCCCTTCTTTGACGGGTGCTCCCCCTCCCCCCTCCTCCCCTCCATTGCATCTGCTGCTGCTGTCGACTACCTCGGTGCTGAGGGAGTCGGGAATGCGTCTGCTCCCGGTGGGAGGCGCAAGAGCGGCAAGGGCAAGGGGGGCAGGGGTGGTGGAGGTGGAGGTGGGGGCGGCGGCGGTGGAGGGGGTGGGGGGGGCGGGGGTGGTGGCGGCAGTGGGAGTGGCGCGGGTGGTGGGGGGGTCGGTGGCGGCGCAGGGGGTGGTGGCGGCGGCGGCGGTGGTGGGGGTGGGGGTGGTGGAGGAGGTGGTGGCAGTAGTGGCGGTGGTGGAGCGGGTGGCGGGCGCGGTGGAGCGGTGCAGCGTGGGGGGTTCGGAGGTGGCCAGAGGCAGCCGCAGCAGCGTCCTGGCGAGACTCCCTCGCCCCAGCAGCTTCGTGAGTGGTACTCTCAGCGTGGGGGGTCTGGGGGTGGGGGCATTTGCTCGTACGTCATCCGCACAGGTGATCGCGCTGGCCAGACTTGTGGGAGGTTCCACCCGACACAGCGCTGCTTCTCTCGCCTCGATGACGCCTGGCGCGAGCAGTTCCCTGACGCCTCTGAGCTGCCTCGGTTGGCTGATCTGCTTAGGAAGGGAATTGATATCTTTGCTCTTGATTATGATGCTATCCTTGCTGCCATGTATGCATTGACTATTAGTGCTGAGGGTGACTGTTACCTGAGTGTGCCGCCTGACCCAGGTATTGGTACTGGTATGGCTGCTGCGCTAGGTGCTAGTGCGTCTGCGTCTGCTGGTACTGAGTCTGCTACAGCACTGCACACCTTCACCCTGGACTCAGGTGCTTCCCGCTGTTTCTTTCGTGACCGCACAGTCCTTGAGCCACTCGCTCGGCCTGTTGCTGTCTCCCTTGCTGACCCCTCTGGGGGCCCGGTCCTTGCGACCTCCTCCACTGTCCTCCCTTGTCCTGCGGCCCCGTCTGGCACTTTGTCGGGTCTTTACCTCCCCTCGTTCTCTACAAACTTGGTGGCGGGCTCTGCTCTCCAGGACGGGGGTGTTCACCAGTTCACCCCTGCCTATGAGCGAGTGACCCACTGTACGTGTGCTCGGACGGGTCGCCACCTGGCTACCTTCACTCGGCAGCCGGGGTCGGACCTGTACATACTGACCACTGAGTCCCCTCAGGTAGCTGCGTCTGCGTCTGCGTCAGGTCAGCTGTCGGCTCCCTGCTCGTGTCGCTCCCTGTCGCACCAGACCGTCCTCTGGCACCACCGCCTTGGTCACCCCTCCGTGCAGCGCCTTCGTGGCATGCACTCCCGTTACCTTGTCTCTGGTCTTCCCAGAGTTCTCCCTCCCCTCCCACCCTCGCCTGCTCCTCCCTGTCTTCCCTGTGTCGAGGGGCGGCAGCGCGCCACCCCTCACTCCTCCTCGTTCCCTCCCACAGAGGCTCCCCTGCAGACTCTCCACCTAGACGTGTGGGGCCCAGCCCGCGTCCGGGGACAGGGCCACGAGCGGTACTTCCTGCTGGTTGTCGACGACTACTCGCGCTACACCACGGTCTTCCCCTTGCGCACCAAGGGTGAGGTCCCTGATGTTTTGATCCCTTGGATCCGCGCTGCTCGTCTCCAGCTCCGCCAGCGGTTCCAGTCGGACTTTCCCGTCCTGCGTCTGCACTCTGACAGGGGTGGTGAGTTTTCCTCCGCCCTCCTGGCTGCCTACTGTGCGGAGCACGGCATCCGCCAGACTTTCACTCTTTCGGACTCCCCACAGCAGAATGGGGTTGCTGAGCGTCGCATTGGTTTAGTCATGGAGGTCGCTCGTACCTCCATGATCCATGCGGCTGCCCCCCATTTCCTGTGGCCGTTTGCAGTGCGGTACGCTGCGCATTAGCTCAACCTCTGGCCCCGTGTCTCCTTGCCGGAGACCTCGCCCACACTGCGTTGGACGGGGGAGGTCGGCGATGCGTCGCGCTTCCGGGTGTGGGGTTCTCGTGCCCTTGTCCGCGATACTTCCGCGGACAAGCTCTCCTCCCGCACACTTCCTGTGTCTTCCTTGGCTTTGTCCCTGACGCGCCAGGCTGGCAGTTTTACCACCCCACCTCGCGCCGGGTCTTCGCCTCTCAGGACGTCACCTTTGACGAGTCGGTCCCTTTTTACCATCTCTTCCCCTACTGCAACGCCCCCCTCTCCCCCCCCCGCCGCTCTTCCTTGCTCCAGGTCCCCCTCCGCTAGACCCCCTTCCCCCTCAGGGTCCTGCTCCTTCAGGTGTCTCTGTGGTAGACCCTCCTCCCGTCGCTGAGCCTGTCGAGGTCACAGGTGACTCGGGTGCTGCTGTAGGTGGTACTGCTGGGGGTGCTGAGCCTGGGGGTGCTGCCACTGGGGGTGCTGAGCCTGCGGGTGCGGAGCCTGGCGGTGCTGAGCCTGGGGGTGCTGACACTGGGGGTGCTGAGCCTGCGGGTGCGGAGCCTGGGGGTGCTGAGCCTGGGAGTGCTGAGCCTGGGGGTGCGGAGCCTGGGGGTGCTGAGCCTGAGGGTGCTGGGCCTGGGGGCGCTGAGCATGGGTTTGCTGAGCCTGGGGGTGCTGAGCCTGGAGGTTCTGGCGCTGCTGGTGCTACCACTGGAGCTGGAGGTCCTGGAGCTGCTACGGACACTGGCGCTGCGGGTTCTGAGTCTGCTGTTGCGCGGTCTCCTTGGAGTAGCCGCCTTCGTACGCGTGTGCCTCTTACCTCCCAGCAGCTGCGCGACTGGTACGGTCGCCGTCAGCGTCGCGCTCCTGTGGCTCGGGACCCTGCTCCTGGCGGTTCTTCCACTGACGTCACTGGAGCTGCGGGTGGTGCTGGTTTGTTGTCTCCTGGGGGTGCCCACGTTGCTAGCTGGTCCCGGAGGTGCTCGTACCGCTGGTACTCGAGCTGCTGGGGCTGGTGGTGTTGTGCTTGAGGGTCCTCCTGGGGACGTTGCGACTGGGGGTGCTGGTTCGGGAGGCGATGCGCCTGGTGGAGACGGTCCTGGAGGAGTTGCTGCTGGGGGTGGTGGAGCTACTGGAGGTGCGGGAGCTGCTGTGGGTGCTGGAGCTGCTGGTGCTGGTGACACTACACAGACGCGCCTGTTCTTTGCTCCGCCGTCTTCATCGACTCTGCCACCTCCTGACTCTGTCCTTCACCAGGTTCTTAGTCTTCCGTCTTCTACCGGTCTTCCCCTCCTGCCTGACTCACCGCTTCCTGCTCCTTCTCCTTACACTGAGCAGTCAGGAGGTCTTACTGAGCGTCGTGAGCCTGCGTCGCGTCCTGTCTCGCCAGTTCGCTCTGGACGCACCGTTCGTCGTGGTCCGCGTTCGCGGTCGCCGTCTGTCCCCCGCACGCACCTTGTCATTCGTCGTTCTTCCTCTGTTCCACAGTCTGTTCCTCTGCCGTCCCCTCCTGAGTCGTCTTTGCCTCACGTTCCGGACCCTGAGTCTGACCGGTTTCGTGCTGAGCACCCCACTGTCACGCGTCTGTTAGCCACTGTTGTCACTGACCCCTCGTTTGAGTCTTCTGCTGCGTCTGCCTTGGTCGCTGAGCTAGTTGACTTCGCTGCTGCCTGTCGTCTAGACTACGCTGCTAGCCTTGTTGCTGAGTCTGAGTCTGTCTGTCCTCCGTCCGTCGGGGGTGAGTGTGCTCTTGGCACGGACGTCCTTGAGGACAGGCACGAGGACCTTGAGTGTCTTGCAGCCGCTGCGCCTCATCTCGTGGCCATGCTGCTTGCCCCTGAGGGAGACCCGGATGCTATAGACATCCCTACCCCGCGATCTTACGCTGAGGCGATCGCGGGTCCCTACTCCTCTCAGTGGCAGGCAGCCATGGACGCAGAGATGGCATCCTGGAAGTCCACAGGCACTTACGTCGACGACGTTCCCCCTCCTGGGACGAACATCGTCAGTGGCATGTGGATTTTCAGGGTGAAGCAGCCGCCAGGTTCTCCGCCTGTCTTCAAGGCTCGTTACGTTGCTCGAGGCTTTAGTCAGCGAGAGGGAGTTGACTTCTTTCAGACCTTCTCCCCCACCCCGAAGATGACCACTCTTCGGGTACTGCTGCACGTTGCCGCTCACCGTGACTACGAGCTTCACTCTCTTGACTTCAGCACAGCTTTCTTGCAGGGCAGTCTGCACGAGGAGATCTGGCTGCGCCGCCCTCCTGGCTTCACTGGGTCGTTTCCTCCTGGTACCCAGTGGAGCCTCCGCCGGCCAGTCTACGGTCTCCGCCAGGCGCCACGTGAGTGGCACGACACACTGAGGACTACACTTGCGGCTCTTGGGTTCGCGCCGTCTACTGCTGACCCGTCGCTGTTTCTGCGCACCGACACTTCGCTGCCGCCGTTCTACATCCTCGTGTACGTCGACGACTTGGTCTTTGCCACTGCTGACAGTGAGGCTCTCGCCCACGTGAAGTCCGAACTGCAGAAGAGACACACGTGCACAGACCTGGGTGAACTGCGCAGCTACCTTGGCTTGCAGATCACCCGGGACAGAGCACGCCGCACCATCACACTGACTCAGTCACACATGGTGCAGCAGGTCCTTCAGCGCTTCGGCTTCACCTGGTCCTCACCACAGGCCACTCCTCTGGCCATAGGTCACTCGCTCTCAGCTCTGCCTTCGGATGAGTCCGTAGAGCCGAGTGGTCCTTACCCAGAGCTAGTTGGTTGCCTCATGTACCTGATGACTTGCACTCGTCCTGACTTAGCGTACCCTCTTGGCCTTCTGGCCCGCTACGTGGCTCCTGGTAGGCACCGAAAGGTGCACTGGGATGCTGCGAAGAGGGTATTGCGCTACATGTGCAGTACATCGGGCATGGGGCTCGTGCTTGGAGGAGGGAGCCCAGTTGTTCTCACTGGGCACTCAGACGCTTCTTGGGTGGACGACCAGGCTACTCAGCGATCGTCACAGGGTTACACCTTCAGTCTTGGCTCTGGCTCTGTTTCTTGGCGTTCTACACGTTCGTCTTCAGTTCTCAGCTCCAGTTGTGAGGCTGAGATCTACGCCACAGCCATGGCTGCTCAGGAGTTACGCTGGCTCACCTACCTGCTGACCGACCTGGGAGAGCGGCCTCGTTCTCCTCCAGTGCTGTACGTTGACAACAAGGCTGCCATTACCTTGTGTGAGGAGCACAGACTGGAGCACAGAACGAAGCACATCGCTCTGCGGTACTTTCTGGCTCGAGAGTTGCAGCAGCGTGGTCAGCTTCGTCTGCGTTACGTGGCCACTCAGGCCAACACTGCTGATATATTCACCAAGGCACTCCCGCCTAGTGATCATCAGCGCTTCTGCACTTTGTTGGGGCTTGTGCCCACTTTTCCTCACTTGCTGTAGACTCTGTGTGTACTGTGATCTCTATATATATATACCTGCATGCTTGCTAGATATAGATCACTGTGATGCTTGTGTTACATATATGCCTCTGCATGTGAACTGGCCTTGTGGCTCTTTGCTTGTGCTCAGAGTGTGTGGTGACGTTGTGATCCACCCTGGGCTTGCTTGCCTTTCTTGACTGGTCTTGTGACCCCTTGCTCTCCCCCACTTTGCCTATGGGGGTGTGTCAAACATTATACTTGTGTTGTTGCTGTGTAGGCTACAGTGGGTTAGCCTTTAGGGGGTACACAATTCTAGGGTTTTGTATTTGTACTCCCATCTTCTCATAGTGCACACACTTCTCATTCTGACACGTGCACCAAGTTCTGCCTAATTATTCATACCGAATTCGGTAAGGTTCTGTTCTCGACGGTTCCCCAGCCTCGATATCTTTTAGTAACAACCTGATCATCTGCCTTGTGTCGTGCCTATATGTAGTCAGCTAGTTGTACCAAGAATCCATACTGTATTTTCTGAACTCGGTCTTCGATCCCCACAGCTTACCAGGTTTAAGGCAATGAGCTTACCAGGTTGAAGGCAATGAGCTTACCAGATTGAAGGCAATGAGCTTACGAACTTGAAGACAATAAGATTACCAAGTTGAAGGCAAAGAGCTTATCAAGTTGAAGGCAGTGAGCTTACCAGGTGGAAGGCAATGAGCTTACAAGGTTGAAGGCAACGAACTCGGAGCGGTAATGCATCGCAATGTACCGGCGGGGCAGGCGGGCCATGGCTTGACGCGCCATGGCATGCCATGCTTGGTTGTACGGAAGCATGTGGAAAGAGATGGCTTCTGTGGGAGGGTTGAAGTCTACCAGACCGAAGGTGCCCTTCACCCACACCAGCACGTCTGTGTGCCGCCTGCAGGTGTGGAGAAGTTGGACAAAGGATGTAGCAGACAGCAATGACGTGGACATATGATATCATCGCCAATTTGTGAGGTCCCAAAAGCTTCCCAAAAATATCCTGCGAGAAACTTTTGGGACATTTTGCACCCCTATCCCGAAAGGGTCTCTCGGGAAGTCTGTAGTGACGGTTCAAAGAGTCCTGATTATGTTCCGCAGGACTCTTTTGAACTGACCCGAAAGTCTTTTTCGGGACTGACATGGACATTTCCAGGACATTGGGGGGACACATTTCGAGCCAATCGCCTTTGAGAGCGGTTCGGGAATATGCGGTTCGTAATTCGTGGAATTGAACATGCGGTTTGGCAAGTGCATTTTGACTCAGCGCCCACAGTACAACATTTAAATTACATTATATATTTGTTTATAAAACATGTACAACCGAATTACATAGAAGTGAAACTACAACAGCAGTAAAAAAAAAAAACGCAACTCAATTAACTCCTCCAGGGTGGCACATACAGAATAAACAAAGAACATCCTGTAATTAACACTGGAAAATTAGCCACAGAACAGCAGAAAGTGATAATAATGCCCTCAAATGTCTTTTACAAACGACATAGCATTTACAAACCGGGGTGCTGGTTACGCCAGTACAACCTGCGTAATGGCAAATAAAACATTCTGCCGCTTGGCGACAACTACACACATCAACACAAACACAAGCATAAACGGATTCCTACTAATGTTAGGGACTCATGTAACAAACATGTCAACTCACAGCCAACGAATAGTTTGCCGACGCGAAAAGCAGCGAAGCATACCTTGATCGTCTACCTTTCATCAGTCAAGCCGCAAAATCACACCCCCGCATCTCACCGTCCCCTGCGACGTTTGTCGCGACAGCCGCGCTGCTTTCGCCGCCAGTGGCGCCGCGTTCGCCCGCAGGCAGCATCATCGGCCTGCGGTACACTTTCCAAACCGCCCCTCCCTCAAGGCGCAGCGTGCAGCTCCACGAAGCTGAACACGCGGAGGGGGAAACGGCGGCGCCTGCGCGGGGCGATGGGGGGAACAGAGGAGCAGGAAGCGGGAAAACTATTAGTAACTAGTAGTCATAATAAGTGTACGAATAGTTAGTGGCAGATACAAGACTGGCAGATCTACTAGAAGGAACCTAAGAAGTGAGAAGTATGAGACGAGTGAAGAAACAGACACAAAAATCGAATAGGTATAAGAATGAGAGGGGGTTTTGCCTACAGATTATGAGAGGTGGTTGGGTCGACTAGTTGGAATTGTGTGGTGTGCACGTTCTATCTTCAGCAACAAGCTTGTGAGGACGTGTGCGTATTTTTGGGCAGCTGGCAGGTGCCAGCGAGGTGTGCATGACAGGTGGCGCGGAAGTGGTGTGCCTTTCAGATGACGCTGATTTGGCGTTCACCTGTTGGGCACATTTTTTTCGCCATCGCTTCGATCGATAGTTTGGAAAGGGGACTTACGAAATTGGCGAGAGATCGAATCCGTTACCTGTGTTTTGTGTTGTGTATGCTATAATGAAATTCGATAATACGCAATGCAGTTAGGCATGTTTCGCGAACTCTAAGTCCTTGCATTAGAGTCGGCTAGTAATTAATAATTTCATAAAACCCGGAAACCTTGATTGTTCTTGTATTTAAATACAAACATCTGTTAGAATCACTAGGCAAGAATGAATGAACTAACAGAAGTTTGGGTACAAATATGAAACCCTAGTTGGGGTTGTACCCCATATTGGCTACCCCACTACAGCCTACAAGCATAATACATTTTAACACACCCCCATAGGCAAAGTGGGGGAGAACAAAGGGTCACAAGACCAGTCCAGCAAAGCAAAACAAAGCCCAGGGTGGATCACAACGTCACCACACTCCGAGCACAAGTAAAGGCCACAAGGCCAGTTCACATGCAGTGCTAGATATAGTACAAGACAAGCAACACAGTGATCAAAACCTAGCAAGCAAGCAACAAGATATATATAAAGTACAGTACAAAGAATGTCAAGCAGTGAGCAAGTGAGGAAACGTGGACACAAGGCCTAAAGAAGTACAGTGCCGCTGATGATCACTAGGCGGGAGCGCCTTGGTGAAGATATCAGCAGTGTTGGCCTTCGAGTCCACGTACACAAGCCGAAGCTGACCGCGCTGCTGAAGCTCTCGAGCAAGAAAGTAGCGAAGAGCAATGTGCTTCGTCCTGTGCTCCAGTCTGTGCTCCTGACACAAGGCAAGAGCCGCCTTGTTGTCACCGTACAGAACTGGAGGAGAACTAGGCCGCTCTCCCAAGTCAGTCAGCAGGTAGGTGAGCCAGCGTAACTCCTGTGCAGCCATGGCTGTGGCGTAGATCTCAGCCTCACAACTAGAGCTGAGAACAGAGGAAGAGCGGGTGGACCGCCACGAGACAGAACCTGAGCCAAGGCTGAAGGTGTAACCCTGTGACGACCGCTGCGTAGCCAGGTCGTCCACCCAAGAGGCGTCCGAGTGACCAGTGAGGACAACTCTGTCGCGTCCTCCAAGCACCAGCCCCATGCCTGATGTACTGCACAGGTAACGCAGCACCCTCTTAGCAGCCTCCCAGTGCTCTCGCCTGTGTCTCCCAGGTGCAACGTAACGAGCAAGGATGCTAAGAGGGTACGCGAGGTCAGGTCGCGTGCAAGTCATCAGGTACATGAGGCAGCCTACAAGCTCTGGGTACGGGCCACTCGGCTCTACGGACTCGTCCGAAGGTGGAGCTGAGAGCGAGTGGCTGGTAGCCAGAGGTGTGGCCTGTGGTGAGGAGAACTGGAAGCCGAAGCGCTGAAGGACCTGCTGCACCATGTGTGACTGAGTCAGGGTGATGGTGCGGCGAGCTCTGTCCCGGGTGATCTGCAAGCCAAGGTAGCTACGCAGTTCACCCAGGTCAGTGCAGGTGTGTCTCTTCTGCAGCTCCGACTTCACACGAGCGAGTGCCTCAGTGTCAGCAGTAGCAAAGACCAAGTCGTCGACGTACACGAGAATGTAGAACGGCGGCAGCGACGTGTCTGTGCGCAGAAACAGCGACGGGTCAGCAGTAGACGGCGCGAACCCAAGAGCCGCAAGAGTAGTCCTCAGTGTGTCGTGCCACTCACGTGGCGCCTGGCGGAGACCGTAGACTGGCCGGCGGAGACTCCACTGGGTACCAGGGGGAAACGACCCAGTAAAGCCAGGTGGGCGGCGCAGCCAGATCTCCTCGTGCAGGCTGCCCTGCAGGAACGCTGTGCTGAAGTCAAGAGAGTGAAGCTCGTAGTCACGCTGAGCAGCAACGTGCAGCAGAACCCGAAGAGTGGTCATCTTCGGGGTGGGGGAGAAGGTCTGGAAGAAGTCGACCCCCTGACGCTGACTGAAGCCTCTAGCAACGTAACGAGCCTTGAAGACAGGCGGAGAACCTGGCGGCCGCTTCACCCTGAAAATCCACATGCCATCGACGATGTTCGCCCCAGGAGGGGGAACCTCGTCGACGTAGGTGCCTGTGGACTTCCAGGATGCCATCTCTGCGTCCATGGCTGTCTGCCACTGAGAGGAGTAGGGACCCGAGATCGCCTCTGCGTAAGTGCGCGGAGTGGGGATGTCTAGTGCATCCGGGTCTCCCTCAGGGGCAAGCAACCAGGCCACGAGATGAGGTACAGCAGCCGCAAGAGAGTCAAAGTCCTCCTGCCTGTCCTCAAGGACGTCCGTGCCAAGAGCACACTCACCCCCGACGGACGGAGGACAGACAGACGCAGACTCTGACGCAGCAACAAGGCTAGCAGCGTAGTCTAGACGACAGGCAGCAGCAAAGTCAACCAACTCAGCGACCAGAGCAGACGCAGCCGAGGACTCAAAGGTAGGGTCAGTGACAACAGTAGCGAGGAGACGCGTGACTGTAGGGTGCTCAGCGCGATACCGGTCAGACTCAGGGTCCGGAACGGCAGGCAAAGAGGACGCAGGAGGAGACGGTAGAGGGACACGCCGAGGAGCAGTAGAGGGACGCAGAGTCATGTAGTGAGTGCCTGGGACAGGAGGAGGACGCTCACGACGGACACGACTAGCAGTGCGAGCAGGACGAACAGGCGACGCAGGACGAGACTCA